TGTCTCATAAAGGTTAAGGGAGACGACGGAGGCAACAGGTAAGAGGATAAAGTTAGCTGGTGATGCTCCGTGATGCTCCGTGATGCTCCGTGATGCTCCGTGATGCTCCGTGATGTCGACAAAACCTTAACTAAATGAACCTTCCATTTAACCAGGATTTTAGATTGAATGGTGAGATTAATGATCATGGAAGCTGTGAGGTTAACTCTGACTGACATTCACACTGTCAGCTACATTACCGCCACCGTTGCTGACTTTAAAAATGGCAAGAGGATATGATTAAATCTATCAACATGTGTAGCCATCATGAAACAAGTATGAACAAGGTAAAACACTCATTATTTTGTAACTAAACCACCAATTTTGGGCAAAGGTTCTAAACGTGGGAAGCAAAAACTTTGTGTTTACGACGACAGGTCCGGCAAAACCCTAATGGGATCCCGTGTTGCTAGGACGAGTTTTGGAGACCGTGACCCTCTGCCGGCAACGCTGACGTAACAACTAAGGAGAGGGAGGTAGAGAGGGAGAGAGACAGGGAGGAAGATAGTGAGGTAGGGAGGGAGGGAGGGAGGGAGGGAGGGGTTCGTTTGGCCTGGGGCGTTGAAGAACCTTGAACTTGGCAGCTCTTGATCACAAAGGCCCACGAGAGGTAAGGAAGTACGAGCATTTGTTTTCGATTTCCATTGTCCTTCTTGGCGAGGATGAGACAAAGGTGCTGGGGTGAGAGGGGAGGCCCACTCAGCTCACGCCTTCAAGAGCTGTAATGAGGAACAAGAGACAGGTTAATCCAGCTGTTAAATCTCTTGTTTATATACCAACTCTCTTATTGTTTACTTCTATTGTTGTTATTATCCATAGTCTCCCTTCATCATCTCCTTGTACCTTTCCTTTGGTAGTGGTTCATGATAGAGGAAAGAGCATTATTTCTGGAGGGCGTCTGAGGGGCGAGTCAGTGTTGTATATGAAGCTCTCTGTTGTGGCTTTTGTCCTCAGCTTCGTGCGATCTCAACAACCCGGCATCCTAACACCCCGAGGTAAGGACCTCTCTGGATGTAACTAGTAATGCTACACATGTACCTGCAATAATCTGTTGTTTTACACCTGTTATCATCCTCTAGCAGCGTTGGGAATCATAATTAGTTCTCCTATAAGCCTTGAAACTAATCAAATTAGTCTCATTAGGTTATATTCAATAGGGTTATTTGAAAAAAAAACCCCACAATCATTCCTTCATCAAATCATCACCAAGACGTTAATATTTTGTCCTGGTGAATGATTCTCCGGCGTCCTCAGTGGCCTTTGAGGAGGATACACGCCTCCCATTGGCTCGTCTGACCCACCACTATCCACCAATCACACACTCGCTACACCACCACCTTACGTAACCCTTATTTACCGTCACCCAAATATCGATGACGTTATTGTGTTAAATCATATAAGCGATCCAACCAACCGGAGTGAAGGACATTATGCTGGAGGGAAGATAAAACCACGTGATAGGAGTACTTGGACAGGCACGTGGTTAGGGAGGTGTAGATCTTCAGGTTTAAACACGTGGTGGTGGGAGACTGAGGCTAGGAAACACGTGACTAGTAGAAGGGAGTGTTAGAACGAGAGACAGGGATAGAGAGAGATAATAAATATAGAGATAATAGGAGATAGAGACAAGGAAGAAGACGCGCAAGAGATGTGAGATTAACACGAGGTCTGTGATACCATGTGGTCGCTTCAGGGGTTCTTATGGATGAATGACTGTAATCATCATCATGATCATCATCACCCACAACAACATCCTTTCTCTCCCCACAACCTCTCTTCTCCCCCACATCTTCTCTTCTCTCCCTCACAACTTCTGTCCTCTCCCACAGCCTTCCTTCTCCCTCACAACCCCCCCTTCCTCCTCTCTCCCTTTCCTTCTCTCTCCCAACTTTTCTTTAGGGTACAGTGTCTCTCATACACTCCACTGTTGTCGCCAGGTAAACATCTGTCAGAAACTCACAACAATAATATATATTACACAGTTCCTTTTAACCTCTGCTCTTGTTGTCTTGAAGTTCCTTGGGCAAACTTTACCTATGGAGAGTTGGGAACTTTTTATATGAGTTATGTGTGTTCCTAGATGGGATATAGGTGTCATCTGCTGTGCTGGGTGTGGTGTTGAAAGGCACTTGAAGGTTACTCGATTTGGTACACGTCAGGTTAGGTTAGGTTACGATTTAGGTCAGGAAAGTTAAGCGAGACTCGAGTTCTTCTCGTTGTGGTACAGAACTGTACTACTGAGTAACGCCTAACAACAAATGGATGCCTTCTCAAGTCTGCCGCCACACGAGACCTGAATAGTAGTAGGCCAGCAGTTGTCTCTGGACCCATTGTTGATGATTCAGGTTATTTGTTATATACAGTATCAAGGGGGAGTATCAAGGGGAGTTTCTAAAGGGAATGTTAAGGGGTAGTGTCAAGGGATAGTGTCAACGGGAGTGTATAGGGGAAGTGCCAAGGGAAAGTGCCTGATATAGTACCAAGGGAGAGAAAAGTGCCAAGGGACTGTACCAGGAGAAGTACTTGGGCCCCATCTCAAGGAGAGGGACACTGTCGCCGGCGGTACTTTCTATACTTACATAAGATTCGAGAAAGGCCGTCGACCCTGAGTGACGGAAGGGGGGGCAACTGTTGAACCTAACCTAACCTAACCTCAACTTTAACCTCTAGAGAGCTATAGGAGGTCAAGCAGGACCTCTAAAAAAACCAAGGAATTTTTCATCTTATAAATAATAGTTTCTCTTTTCGTTTCTTAATTTCATCTCATATAATTACTGTTATTATCTGAGTCATTTTGTGGTTATTAAGATGTGTCTGTAGTCTTAAACTCGATGGTACAACTTAAGGTAATTTCAGATACGTGGACTGGCTCGTTAAATACAACATTCATAGGTAGTAGATTTTAAGACCTTACATCTATTTTGTCTCTCTCTTTCTCGTTCTCTGTGTATCTTTTTCTTTGCCTCTCTCTCTCTCTCTCTCTCTCTCTCTCTCTCTCTCTCTCTCTCTCTCTCGCGCGCGCGCGCGCCTGCAAGCACCCGTACCCAGTGCTTACTCTCTAGTACGAGGCAGGAAGCACCAATGACGGCGGAGGTTATGTAACTGATCACAACATTGATCAGGTTTGGGTCATTGTCCTCTACGAAACGCCAGAGGCTACACGGGAGTTGATGCTGTTGTGGAGTTTGGTACCGGATAGCCGCATGGACAAGGGGCCCGTGAACCTAACCTAACCGAACCTAACACTGTTTTGGGGGATGAGGTTAGGTTAGGTTAGGTTAATTTAGTGTTAGGGTGGTTAATCTTTAGGTGAAATTGACGTACATAGTTGTTCTTTGTATTGTATCGTGAGAGGGATGAGTCTCGTGCACACACACACACACACACACACACACACATACACACACACCTCTTAAAGAACATAATGGCGTGGTTTTTAACCTTGACCATCAGCAGGTGTTGCTAAGGAGGTGCTGGAGAGAGAGAGAGAGAGAGAGAGAGAGAGAGACCATGAATAAAAATGATTGTGGGAGGGTGGAGTAGGAGGTAGGGAGGGTGGAGTAGGAGGTAGAGAGGTGGAGTAGGAGGTAGGGAGGGTGGAGTAGGGGGGTAGGGAGGGGTGGAGTATGGCGTAGGTTGATGACCCATACAAATTATATATCCAACGATTACGGTAGAGGAGGAGAGAGATGGGGGGGTATGCTTGGGGGAGGGAGGTGAGGATGTGACGCTGGGGAGGGAGGGATGTGGGGGATGAGGGGGAAGGGGTGAGATGGTGGGATAGGTGAGGTGAGGGGGAAGGGTGGTGGGATGGAAAATTAATGGGAAATGGTTGACTGAGGATGGGACAAAGAAGTATATATGGGAGGGGAGGGAAGGAAGGAGGGAGGGAGGGAGGGAGGGAGGGATGTGAGGGAGAAACAGTGCTGGAGAAATTGTATTGAAAAGGGCAACTATAACGAACAGAAACATACATACATGCATACGTACATACATATTCTCTAAAACATTTGAGGAATAAACATTTAACACATGGCCATATATCAATTAATATTCACTTCAGACTGTAAAATTCTTCGATCTATGTACCCTGTATACATGCATAGTCCACAAGCATGACTGTCCAATTGTAAACCTGTATTTAATATCTGTATGTAAAGCGTTGTCATAATATTGAAAAGTGTATCATAGTTATTCATCCAAATAGTAACGTTTTCTTTGGTCTGAGCGTCTAGAAGTATGGCAATGACTAACTCTTGTATTTTTGTATTCTCTGGCGTTTTCTGTTGAAATAATGTTAAACTGTGCTTACATTAAGATAATAACAATAATAATAATAATATTATTTAATTAATAAATTTACCATACAGATTTTAAATTGGATAGGCATGTATATGGACTTTGAAGGTATACAGTTCAGCATGTATATAGGCAACGCATGTATACGGAAGTTAAAACACCTGCCAAACCTGTAACACACAAACACCTTTAATGTAGTACAAGATATAACGAATTGTGTGAGAAACATCTGAGGAACACAGACATCTCATGCTAGCTCATCTGTAGTCGGAAGTGGGGAAGAAGGCGAGTCTAGCAACATGAGGAAGGGCAAACTGCGTCGTATTTTGGTTATTATGATACACAATTAACCCCTTTAGTGGTTAAGAATAAATAAATATATAATAGTTCATTAAATAAGTTGTTTTTTAATAAATTTATGGATTAAGATACCTATTATCGTTGGTGGTTGCTATCAGTGGGAGTTAGCTGGAAGGACGGTGGTTATCAGTGGATGTTTCATGTTCTTTGGGTAAAATATTTGCACGTATGGGGACAGAGTTGGGAATCCTCAGTTTAATATTAAGAAATGCGTCTTTCTCTCTGTCTCTCTCGCCAGGAAGAAGAATTTCCCAGGCAATTCCTTCACGTAATCATTTAGGATTTAGTGAAAAATTTATAAGTACCTGTAACAAAAATTATTTATTACCTGTGGATGCCGGTGCAGACACATTGAATAAGAAGTTGGTGCTGAGTGATGGGCAGTATCAGGTAACAAGGTCTGATAATATATACTCACTTTATGTATACAATGAGGGGGATACTCATAGTATCTTTGAACTAAGTGAAGGGAAGTGAATCTACAGTATATATTTGGAGTGTTTTAACGTGGGAGTGAAAGAAAAACAAGTTGATATTCTTTTCTGTGCTAATTCCTTGAGTAGTGAAGCAGGTAAGTGTAGGTAAGGGTAGGTAAGGGGATGTAAGGGACGGGTAAGGGGCAGGTAAGGGGCAAGTGTTCCATCGTTTCTGCATAAAGTACCCTGAGTGTTAATGACCATAGGTACAGCATGTGGAGGAAGACGTAGGAATCAATCGTCCAAGTTAACACAAGCACTATATCCACACTCCTTCTCCACGATAATGGTGATGATGGTGATGACTAGGAGGATATCTCAGGTTTGGGTAACGACGACGGAACCAGTTAATGAAGTCCCTCCTTGAAGGCTTGTTTGTGCGAGGTGGCTGCTGTTGGGAGGGTCTCAGTTGCTTGGTATAGAGGATGCGATTCTGTCTCGTTGGTAGACTTGACCAGAATTTCCTCACCTAGAGAGAGTTTAGAAGTAGTTGTAATAGTCTCTCACTCAAGTTTTTTTATATGTGATTGGCCAAGTTAATTGATATACGATCTTACAGGAAATATATAATGGAAAAGGGCGTTGACATGGAGAACGCTCTAGGACCCTCAGAAAATGTGGGTATAATTTTTTAATCAGAATGAAATGCTGAGATTACTTGCTGGAGTAGAGCTATTGTAGTGTTTAGTGAGGAAAGAAGGAAGATTTATCTGAATGAAGAGAGTGAACACCACAGAACACACCTACATGAGCACAGGGATGAATGATAGGTATAAGTAACACACAACACTGAACACCACAGAGCACCTACCTGAGCACGTGTGTCTGGCAGCATGGTCAGGTTAGGTCTGAGGGCCAAGTAAGAGAGACGATCGGGAGAGGATGACACCCACCTCACCCCTAGAGTCTTATCAGGGGTCGGGTTCCTGCGATAAAGGACTCAATAAAATACAAAACCAGACCCAATATGGTAACTTTAGACACGTAGCAGTTATATGGTTGTGTTTTGTGTTTTGCTGTAATATGTCAACAAGAACTTTAGTTAGTGTGTTGAGAGGATTTACGTACTGACAGACGGACATAAAGGATAACATAATACGCGGAGAAACACGAGAAACACAAATACAGACTCGAGTTACTATAGAATGAAGTTGGTGAAGAACGTGCGTGAAGTTTGTGTCGAAGTTGTCAAAAGATCTTACCCAGTGGCGGCGAAGTTGGTCCACATTGTAAGCATCAGCTGGCGGAGTTCGAGGTCCTGGGGGCGCTGTAGGGGCGGGAGAGACGCCGCTCCATCGAACAGGTACTGTAGGTCGTCAGCGTGGCTCACCCCTACAAGAACGTGACCCATCTTGACCGATTATAAAGTTTTCAAGAGCTACTGACTAGACCTAAGTTGTAGCATTATTACTGTAGGTTTGTTTACCTCTGTTGACTTGTCTTGGCTTGTGATTGGCCAGTTAAAAAAAAAACTTATGCTGTAGATTGACAAAAATAGTTGCTTCTATAGAGGATACTACCACATTATCCAATCACAAGCCCATACGTCATATTGGTGGGCGGGGCCGAGTGTGATATTTCCAGACGAAGTGAGAGTCGGGACTTACAGGTGAGGGCGAGAGGGCTGTTGTAGACGTCGGCGAGGCTGTGTTCTCCGCGGTGTACCAGGGCATAAGCGACCACATTCTTCCCTAACACGGTGTCTCGACTGTGTAAACTCGTCGTCTCTTCGTGAGGGACGTTAAACCATCGATCACCGAAGAGCTGCACAGACACATATGAATTATTATAGTGAATGTATTGACAGCTGAGTGGAATTGACTATGAGAAGCATATTAATTGGAATTTTCTGTCTGTTTTATTTTCTTATGGTTTAAATGATTAGTTTTCTCTGTCTGTCTCTCTGTCAACCTTTGTCTCTGTCTCTATTTATTTCTGTCTCTGTCTGTCTGTCTGTCTCTGGTTTAAACATGACCTGTCCTGACCTCGACTAGTTCTTTAGCAGAGGCTTCGGTGATGTTGAGGTCACCAAGGTAGTACTTGAAGACGCGGCGAGCCAAGGAGAGACCAGCATCCTCGTCCTCGAAGTTCACAGCGACGGGGCCGATCTCGCCGAAGTCCTGCGTCAGAGCTTCCTGTACCTCCCGGCTCGTCAAGATGGCTGTGTGGAGAAGACTCGAGTAAGGAGTCTTATCTCGGAACGTGTAAAGAACAAACTCGGTTCTATAATACATGTACTTTGAATTTGAGTCTTAATAGGCCCCAATGTTTATGTTTGAGGTTAAGACTGAAGCCTATTATGAGTAAGAACTCTTTCACATGAACGGAATTTCTTGTAGCGCTTCACGTCTCGCGCGACTTAGAAAACAATGAAGTTCAATGGACGTCCCTATGAAAGGTTCGATTGAAGTTTATTGATTTCTCAATTGCATCACGCGACAAAAACCACTCGTATGAAAGAGGCCAAAGGTTCATCATGGCCACCCACATAAGCAGTGTATAAAAGGTACTTACGTAAGGCAGCCAGGGCGCCCTCATGCTGAGTGACGCCAGAGATGAGGTCCACCTTATTGTACCTGTTGGACCTGAGCAGCCTGGCGGGGTGATCCGGCAGGAAGTCTCCGTCCACCCTCGGTGTCATCACCATCGGGGTGTTGAGCCACACCTGCGGGAAAAGCCACACCCCCCGTCAGTGATCTTGACCTGGAAGAACAACTCATGTCCTCTCGTATAAAGTTTCAGTTAATGTCATTACTGAGAGGAACATCTGAGCTTGTTTTAATTGTTTTCTTCAGGAATTGTCAACCAAACATTACCCGGAGGAGGAAGAGGAGGGGGAGGAGGAGGAGAAAGAGGAGGAGGAGGAGGAAGAGGGGGAGGAGGAGGAGTAGTACTAACTGCAAAGGCTGAGGGGATGGCCACCAGGTCTTCGAGGGGTAGTGTCTGGAGGCAGTAGAGGAGCGCCCTGCTGTTCAGACCTTGTGGCGTCGTCTTCACACCTGAGCAGTTGAACGCCTGGCCGATGGTAGTGGCCACCTGCCTATGGTCGGCCCGCGTGGCCCAGGGGCTGAGTGATGAGCCGGATTGAAGGATGGCCCTCTGAAACAACCCTGTGGAGGAATATAATACAATAAGTCAACTTTACCAGAAACACGTATGAAATGAAGTCCAGTGCTCCCCTCTCCCCCCCCCCCACCAAGTCCTAATGGATCCGTATTATTTGCCAGGTGGAGATTTGGTTAAATTACGACCTTTAAGGATTGACTGTAACAAAAGTTTTGAGAATGATGATTTAACCCTTTGCCTATGATGATTTAACCCTTTGAATATGATGATTTAACCCTTTGATGACGATGATTTAACTCTTTACGGACAATAATATATAAACCCTTTGAGAACGAATATCCAAAACCAACCTCTTGCATGTGGTGACAGAACTTGCAGGTGAACTGAGGCGGCTCCGGCACTCTGACCAAAGATAGTGACCTTATTGGGGTCACCACCGAGGTCACGAATGTTGTCTTGCACCCAACGTAGGGCCAAAGTCTGATCCTTTAGCCCCAGGTTACCAGGCAGTGTTGAGTCTTCCGTCGAGAGGAAGCCTGAGGAGGTGAACTGTGCTGAATACATATTTTTTTTTGGGGGGGGGGGGAAGAAAATTTGACCTTGACGCTTAAAAGAAGTTTGTAGATTTTGAGATGATATTTTATACAGTATAATTTATTCTTTAACTTCATGATGTTCAGAAATATCCTAAAATATCCTAAAATAAGGTCAAATATCCTAAAATAAGCTCAAGTATCCTTAAAACATCCTTAAATAAGCTCAAATATCCTTAAAATATCCTAAAATAAGCTGATATATCCTTGAATAAGCACAAATTCTCTTAACTTGTAAAACTTGTTGTCTAGCGTAAAAAAAAGACCCAGTAAACGGTGCTCAAAGACCTTGGAGATTCACGCATCTTAGATCCACCAAACAGCAGGGTCTTACCTAAAGTCCCTAAGCGGTACTGGATGGTGACGAGGACGATGTCTTTGGTGAGGAAGGGCAGCGGGGAGTAGTGATGGGCGGCACCGAGGATGAAGGCGCCCCCGTGGATCCACACCATCACAGGCAGGCCAGGGTGGAGGGGCTATGATGCCAGTGATTGGTTAAATGAGTTCATGTGCTAATATATCCTAACATAACCTAACCACACCATTAATGCTTGTCCAATCTTAATAGGCCTCCAGTTCCAATGGTTAGGTTAGGTTGTGTTGAATGAGGTGAGGTGAGTTTAGGTCAGGTTAGGTGAGATCAGGTTAGGTTGGATTTTATTATGACTGGAGACCATAGGACCGTCCAAATACCTGGACAAACACTCACAGATCCTGACGCCAAAGATGAACTCACTCAAACTCCTCTATGACATCTTATTCTACACATGACGATAGAGATTACGTTTAACTATACTTCTACTGTGACGTATTGATGACGTATATAACTGTGACGTATTGATGACGTATATAACTGTGACGTATTTATGACGTATATACTGACGTGTGGGGTGTAGACGTTGAGGTAGAGGCAGTCTTCTTGGCCCAGAACCTTCACCTCACCCTCCAGGAAGGCGTTAAACTCCAGCTGAGGGCATGCAGGAGACACCACACGTCCGTCCTTAGTGCCCCTCCATCCCCCTGCTGGCACTGGATCCTGTCAACACACACACCGATCCTTATTCTGTAGTCATACATATCTGCCACACACACACACACACACACACACACACACACACACACACACATTCTTACTCTATGCCATAAACATCTTCATATAGTAAGTATGCCAAGACACTTCCTAATAGAACATAAAAAAATAATACACGTGGACGCTGTCACAACCAATAAGTATCGGGACACTGATAGAAGCGTTTAGTATATTGAAAGTTAGGTAAGGTTAAGTGAATTGTTTTAGGATATTGATGGCATTTGTAAGTCACGTAAACACTCCACTTACCCTAAATCTGAGACCATCTACTGGAGGCTGAGCGAAGGGAATGCCAAGGAAGCTGTAGAAATACTTGTTGGCCACCCCAGTTTCTTCCCGGAGACCAATGATGGTACCTTGTTTGAGTCGAACTTCCAGGGTAACCTCATTCTGGGCCAGTGCCACCGTCCACGCCATCACCCATACCACTGCCCATATCCTCCACCCCACCCATTTCCCACACCCGACCCACAGCCTGCACACCTCCCAGGTCATCCTGTTAAATAAGAAAACTAGGGTAATTTTTCTTCAGTAGAGTTTAATTTAAAAATGGGTTGAGAAATGATTTATATAAACAAGGGAACAGGGAGTTAAGTTTCCGCCATGAGACACACACAGTAGTGAGGTAGGAGATGGGAGATGCAGTGTAGTGTTTGTGGTCTAGTTGATCAGTGATGCCAGAAGGGTGTAAATTTAGCTAAGTCGCCAAATCACATGCAGTATTACCAACTTCAGGGTCACATACAGTACACGTCAGCTCATTCACCTTCTACCTGCCTGTCTTTCTGTCTATTTGTCTGTCTGTTCCTGGCCGTTCTGGAGCTACAGGTTTAGACAATTGAGAGGAACCAGGATATGAAGGCCAGGTTATCAGGCAACATCACGGTGTATGGTCACTAGTACGCACACACGAGTACATGCTATACCTAACCTAACCCAACCCAACCCAACCCAACCCAACCTAACCCAACCCAACCCAACCCAACCTAACCCAACCCACGAGTAAATAATCTGAGTCTTGCTAGTCGTACATGTTCCTAAAAAGTATCGTATTCACAACCTAAAATATACACGATCGTATTAAAAGTGTAGTATGGAGTCAAAACAGCTCGCCACGACAACAAGGTCTAAGCCATGGGCGTCTCTTGGTGCCTAAACCGTGTAGTGGAAATAATAAGGTAATTTAACGATATTCATGACACTTATATATACACCGTGACCAAAGGTAATTCGATGAGTAATTCACATAAGTAATCCACATGATAGGTAATCCACATATAAGTAATCCACATAAGTAATCCACAAAAGTAATCCACCAAGACTATACACAAACATAATAAGTAATCCCCATAAGTAATCCATATAAGTAATCCAAATATAAGTAATCTATATAAGTAATCCAGCGAGACTTTAAACAGAATAAGTAATCTCTTGATAGATTTACTGTACCTGGAGGTGATGAGTAACTGGAGAATCACACAAGAGCAGGAGAGAGAACCTACCTGAGGGTCTCACCACCACGAGGGGAGGAACAACACTGACTGAGGGATTATTACCTTCGTCACCCAAGTGTAGGTTGGCTAGGTACCCTCCCACTCCCTCTCTACCTCACTTCCCTCTCCTCCCTTCCCTCTCTCCACCAACACCATTGTTGGTTTCCTCCCCCATCTCCCACTACCACTATCACCAATCTCCTCCATCACCAGCACCACCCATCACTCCACCACACCACCCACCACCATCACCAGCACCGCCCACCACTCCACCACCACCCACCACCATCACCAGCACCGCCCACCACTCCTACCACCCTGCCATCTTCCAGCACCGCCCCACCACTCCACCACCACCCACCACCATCACCAGCACCGCCCACCTCCACCACCACCCCACCATCACCATCACCTTACCACTCCACCACCACCTACCAACACCATCACCGCCCACCACTCCACCACCACCCACCACCATCACCATCACACTTTGCTCCACACACGCCCTGCTCTACACCACCCACCACCATCACCATCACCGCCCACACTCTACCACCTACCAACACCATCACCGCACCCTCCACCATAAACCGGTCATGTATGTAGCAGCAGTCATAACCTTGGGGTGAGTGGCCACACCCACACACCTCCCCCACACCGTTATATTAGTCACCAAAATTACAAGTTAATCCGAGTGTAATGTTACCAGCCATAGAGACGAGTATATATATAGTATACCAAATCTCTAAGGTACTTGTTTTACTTCTACTGGCTGTGGGACAGGTGAATATTAACAGGTAATTAGGTATTGAAATATGTCAAGTCATCGTGACGTGGCAGTTTTTACACTGGTATGGATCGCGTGTGATGAACAATTTTCATTTACTGTTTCAAATATTATGATGATTATCCACGACCGGATGTGAGGAGGGGGGGGGAGGGGGTGGGGTTTGAGGGGTGAGGGAAAGGGAGAGGTGAGGAGTGAGGGGGAGGATAAGGGGTGATACTGGTTACCTTTGTGTTATGGAACGTTGCAAGAGAAAACTTTATGGTCATTTCCTCCGTTCCCGACGATAAACGCTGACTCATCGTGACTCATCAGAATTGGCCAGTGTGACCCTATTATTATATAGGACAGGGGAAGCTATAGGACAGAGGAAGCTATAGGACAGAGGAAGCTATAGGACAGGGGAAGCTATAGGACAGGGGAAGCTATAGGACAGGGGAAGCCAGGTAGATGTAGCTTTTATAGGACAGGGAAGCTAGGACAGGGAAGGGGAAGCGATAGGGCAGAGGAAGCTATAGGACAGGGGAAGCTATAGGACAGGGGAAGCTATAGGACAGGGGAAGCGATAGGACAGGGGAAGCTATAGGACAGAGGAAGCTATAGGACAGGGGAAGCTATAGGACAGGGGAAGCTATGGGACAGGGGAAGCTATGGGACAGGGGAAGCTATAGGACACCTCATATAATACTGTATATCAGAAACAATGATAGACCTGTCACTGCCCACGGACCATATTTGATCAAGGACAGTACTTGATCAAGGACACTACTTGATCAAGCAGAGCATTTAACCAAGGACAGTACTTGATTTAGGAAAGTACTTGATCAAGGACAGTAATTGATCAAGCAGAGCATTTAACCAAGGGCACTATTTGACCAAGGACAGTACTTGATTTAGGAAAGTACATAACCAAGAACAGTACTTCACTTATATCAGTACATGAGGATGGAGGGTTACTTATTTCACATTATATAACTCATTATTATTATTATTATTATTATTATTATTATTATTATTATTATTATTATTATTAGGGTCAACAAAACACATTCGTAATTGATCAAAATTTTATTAAAAAAAGTACAAATGACGCAGATAACAATAAATACATTATCTCATTTTATATATGGCACTAAGTTATCAAGCTAAAATAATCACATTAGTATGTTTATTTATATAATATATATATATAACAGCAACACGTACCAAGAGTATTATCCTTCTAGTATATAATATATCACTATTATCCTATAAAATCTAATCAGGTCACATTGTCATGATAAACTTCAGAGAGTGGCAGATGTGTAGCAGATGTGTGGCAGATGTGTGGCAGATGTGTAGCAGATGTGTGGCAGATGTGTAGTAGATGTGTAGTAGATGTATTGGTTTGTAGACTGTCTCCACTAACATGGGACTTGTAACTTGTCCTCACTGTCAGCAACACCTTAACACAGTATAAATCATTTGTGTTCCACCACTTGATGAATGACAAAAGGTTAAGGTTCAGTTTTATCAGGTGGCCAAAGATAACCTGTCACTGTCACAAGCACTGAAGTTATCATGAAGTTTATAATATTGTTTGTATGTGTGTCTGTGTGTCTCTTCGTGTTCGTATTTACACCCATAAGACAGCCGCTACAGCTGTCTCCACTACCGCTGTTTTCTGAGATTTGGGGACATCTGTGTATGTTGGGACACCTCAATCTCCTCTGTGTCAGTCAACCAGGAAATTTAGGATATCACGACTGCTGTACACCACCTACCTCCTCTCTCTCACCCTCACCTACACCAACTACCTCTTCCTTGGTCGTGATAAGTTCCATCCCGTCTTAACTGAAGCTCAAGATCCACACACACTTATCCTGGCCATGAATTGAGAGTTCCAGCCTCGTGGTAATTCTTGAAGCTCTACCGCGTGTCACTAACTAAAAGTCTTGCACCGTATGACTTGATCCTGACCTTGAATAAAGTTCCAAACCCTCTGTAGTTTGGTCTGGCCCTTGACTAAAGTACCGAACCGTTGATCTATGGATACTTCCCCTCCCATCCTGGTGTGAGTGCCTCCCTGGTGTCTCCCTGAAGTACACACGACTAATCAGCCTTACATTCAGTGGCCTCAGACAGCAATCGGAGGTAGATGCTAGCGTTGAAGGGTAAGGGGCGACGTTGAAGTGTAGGAGGTAGCGTTGAAAGATTGGGAGAAGCTTACTATGGTAGGGATTTGTTGTTTAAGGGTGAAGGGGTGTTGTTTAGGGGTAAAGGGTGTTGTTTAAGGGGAAGGGAACGTTATTTTGAGCATGAGGTGTCGTTAAGGGGATAGAAGGCTTTGTATATAAGAGGGAACATCAGTCAAGGGGATAATGGTCATCAATCAGGGGAAGGGGATGGCATTCAGGGGGAAGAGGAAATTATACACGGGTAGGACACTTCATTCAGGGGGAAGTGGACATTATTCAGGGATAAGACACTTCATTCAGGGGGAAACGAATATTATACAGGGGTAGAGGACACCAATCAGGGGTAGGGCGAAGCAATAACACTCTGTATCCAGTTGCGGTAGTTGGAGACACGAGCATAGATACCGAATTTGCCTCTCTTCCCACATCCCTCACCGAAGGACGTGATGCCGTGGATGTACCTGTGTGTGAGAGAGAGAGAGAATAAAAAAGAGAGAATGAAAGAGTGAGAGAGAGAGAGACAAAGAAAGAAAGAGAGAGAGAGAGAGAGCTAACTCACCATCGGCCATAGCGGTGACACAACAAGGGCCCACCGGAGTCTCCAGCACACGAGTCTACGCGACCTTTACGATAGCCCGCACAGAACATATTGGAGGTGATGTAGTAGTCTTGGTACACGGACTCACACACCTTGCTGGCGATGATGGGCACCTGCAACACCGCAACACTGGTTAATGTGATAGTGACGCATCTGCAACACTGGTTAATGTGATAGTGACGCATCTGCAACACTGGTTAATGTGATAGTGACGCTTCTGCAACACTGGTTAATGTGATACTGACGCTTCTGCAACACTGGTTAATGTGATAATGGCCATTTGCAACACTAGTTAAGGTGAGATTTGGGCAGTGAAATATCTGCAACACTTTTAATGTGATAGTGACGCTTCTGCAACACTGGTTAATGTGATAATGACGCTTCTGCAACACTGGTTAATGTGAGCTTTGGGCACCTGCAACACTGCAACACTGGTTAATGTGATAGTGACGCTTCTGCAACACTGGTTAATGTGAGCTTTGGGCACCTGCAACACTGCAACACTGGTTAATGTGATAGTGACGCTTCTGCAACACTGGTTAATGTGATACTGACGCTTCTGCAACACTGGTTAATGTGATAATGGCCATTTGCAACACTAGTTTAGGTGAGATTTGGGCAGTGAAACATCTGCAACACTGGTTAATGTGATAGTGACTCATCTACAACACTGGTTAATGTGATAATAGCCACCTGCATAACTAGTTAATGTGATAGTGACGTATCTGCAACACTGGTTAAGGTTTTGATGGTTACCTGCAACATCACACCACAGAGAGCCAGGTGTTCATTAACTAATTATTCACCAGGTGTTCAAACTTTACGGTAAAATCAGACTCCTGTCTTTTACCTTCAGTCAGTGTTGGCTCTCTCTACTGCTTAGGATGTAAACAAGGATAATATGGTTAGTTTCTTATCTATCTATCTATCCATCTATCTCTCTCTCTCTCTCTCTCTCTCTCTCTCTCTCTCTCTCTCTACCCTCCATCTTTCCCCTTCCTCCATCTACCCCCCCTCTATCTATCCCCCCTCCCTCCATCTATCCCCCCCTCCCTCCATCTATCCCCCCTCCTCCATCTATCCCCTCCCTCATCTCCCTCCCCATCTTTCCCCCCCCCCAAGACACTCCCTCTCCTCCACCACCACAACTACCTCCGCCTCGTGTAGAACATCAGTGCCGAAGATGTGGGTGTTCTTCTCCTTGCCCCAGCCTATGATGGTACAGGTATCCCCGACGGGTAGCGAGGCGCCCTGCTGAGGTAAACACGCTGGCGCCACACGGGGTCCGGATTCCACAGCTTCAGGGAGTTGCAGAAGGGCTACGTCGTTATCTACCGTCGTGGAGTCGTACTGGGGGTGTGTGACTGTTCTGGCCACCTGTTAATATTTAAGACAGTTAGTTGGGTTAGCCAGTCTGTTGATGGATACAGTTAGATGTTAGTGATGGGATTAACTCATAGGTTGTAATTAATATTGTTTTAAAAATTACATTGATTGGAATTTACAGATATTGCGTTTGTGATTTGAACATACAGTTAACAAAGACAGTTATACAGTTTCAACCTCCTTTTAGCCTTACCTGGGGGTGACAGTTACCTTACCTGGGGTGACAGTTACCTTACCTGGGGTGACAGTTACCTTACCTGGGGTGAATAATAATGACTCGTACCTTGTATTCAATCTCAGGTCCCTCTCTGATGGCTAGATCGTGTTCGCCAAGACGGACGTAGAGTTTTCGCCTGACGCAATGGGCAGCCGTCAAAACCCACTTGGAGGCGACCAATGTTCCTCCACAGAACGCTTCCTGTAGGAGTTTAAGTCACTGTAAAGCCTAGCCTGCTGTGTTAGGGTAGTGTGCTGTGTAACTATCGCAATAAAGGCCGTTCAATTAAATTCATACAACAATTAATACAATACCAAGCCTAGTTAAGTAATTTCCCATACGTGTTATCGGGGGAAAAAGTAATTGTATTAATCTGTAAGAGTTTAGTTATCAAGAACGAGTCAACGTGGTGTAGATAGACGATGTAATCTTGGTGTACTTACGTGATAGCGATTTAATATGACGACTTGCCAAGGCCACTCCCCAGGCTGCGCAGTTCGCCCTCCTATGATTCGCAAACTCCACCCTGGCGTCGTTACGTTGCTTACCCCACACTCCCGAGGCAGTGTCCGTTCCGATGATATTGATGTTGATGATGATGTAGCTGTTGTGGAGTGATGATGTGATGATGGTGATGATCCAAATGAAGGGGAACTTGATGTTGAAACAGAAGGTGTGGTCTCGTTGTCCTCAGCGTCTGTAGAAGGAGAGTGAAATAAAGTCATCATGATCATCTTAGACACCTGTGCTAATCCATACGATAGTTTCACCTGAGGATAGTCTGTGTTTTTTTGTGTGTGTAATTTTTTGTCCATTTCGTTGTGTCTCTGTGTTTGTCTTCTGGTTAATAGATTCATCTGTGTTTATGTCGTGAATTTTACGTTTTTGTCCTATTTTGAATGTTTCTGTCATTGAAATAATATATCTGTCTGTTTTTGTCAATCAAACTCGATGTTTCCTAATTATCTGTTCTCCTGTCTGTTATACCGTCTTACAATAATTCCGTAGACGAGAAAAACCTTAAAAGAATATACAAATTATACTACACTTGAAAAGCAAATGACTATACAGATACGTAAAGGAATTAACTTTGTAACTATAAATTATCTTATTTGAAATGTTGATCTTTTAGGATAATGTATCATAGGAATTTATGAATTAAAGGATAAATTTGAGTAAAAGTGGATAAATTTTTTCGTGGTTCGTGATCTGTGGATGTTGTTCCTTGATAACAGTCTTAAAATTCATCTCATGGGACAACTGTGTGATTTATGGGACAACTGTGTGATTTATGGGACAACTGTGTGATTTATGGGACAACTGTGTGATTTATGGGACAACTGTGTGATTTATGGGACAACTGTGTGATTTATGGGACAACTGTGTGATTCATGGGACAACTGTGTGATTTATGGGACAACTGTGTGATTTATGGGACAACTGTGTGATTCATGGGACAACTGTGTGATTCATGGGACAACTGTGTGATTTATGGGACAACTGTGTGATTCATGGGACAACTGTGTGATTCATGGGACAACTGTGTGATTTATGGGACAACTGTGTGATTTATGGGACAACTGTGTGATTCATGGGACATTTGTTTGACTCACAGAAATAGCTACATGACTCACAGAAGAAAAGATGACTCACAGAAGAGAAGATGACTCACAGAAAGAAAATCCCACATGACTCACAAAAAAGACGACTCACAGAAGAAAGAATTTAAAACGTAACTTACCATGTCTGTCTCCTGGTTTGTGCTTACGTGAATTTTGTCTGTTGCGACGGTACCACTTCTCACAGAGGGACCCTTCGATGTAACAGTAGGCCTCCTCGTGAACCACACTGCCTCCACAGAACAGCGGGTACTTGCAGGACCTGGTGAGGGCAGTAGAGGTTTAGATGATGTGTCTAGGGGATTGGTTGAGTGGTTGAGTGAGTGAGTGGTTGAGTGAGTGAGTGAGTGATTAGTTGCTTCATTGATTGGTTGATTTGTTGAGTGAGTGGTTGAGTGGTTGGTTGATTGAGTAAGGAATAAGTTAGGTTAGGTCAGATATAATTATGACAAGTCTTCATATCAACAAAACAAGAAGATGGAAGACCAACCTGTAGCGGCGGGTGAGACAAGACCTACTGCAGGAGGACCAACGGGACCATCTTGTGTAGAACATGGAGTTGAAGTTGAGTAAGACCCTCATGTCGTTTCTGGGAGGCTGGCGTGAGAATTCCTCCGGCCGGATGATGTGGAAGGGACGCCGCCCAGAACACCGTCCTCCTGTACAGCTTCGTTCTTCCTGTAGGCGGCCCAGGGCAGGGTTAAAGTCAGGTCGTGTTACTACAGTGTGAAGGGTGATGTCTGGGCAGGTCTTAGTAGGTTAGGTTACGTCAAGGTAGGTTATGTCAGGGAAGGTTACATACGTTTAGGAAGGTTCCATCAGGGCATGGATCACATTAGGGCAGGTCACATTAGGGTAGGTCACGTCTAGGCAGGTCACATCAAGGCAGGTTATATAAGGGCAGGTCACGTCAAGGCAGGTCACATCAGGGCAGATCATGTCAAAACAGGTTACTTCAGGGCAGGTCATATCAGGTCCGGCGACATTAGATCAAGTTAAGAAGTTCAGATGTCATTTGATTCCCACAGACAAGGTCATTATATACATCTACAGGTGATATAAGGTCCTTTACAGAGCTATGAGGTCACTGTAGGTCAGGCAGGGGTCTTACGTACGAAAAATTGAAGGTATTTATAAAAGTCATTAGTACAGATAGAGGTCAATTAATTAAATCTTCCGTGAACATAAATAATTAAGGGTAACAACAACAACAACCTGAGTGCCAACAAGTCCTGGGTGCCAACAAGTCCTGAGTGCCAACAAGGGCCTGGGTGCCAACAAGGGCCTGGGTGCCACAATGAATCCCGGCACCACTTAAGACACTAGATACTAAACACCACTCCAGTTGTCAACAAGTTCCAGGGTCCCATATGATCCTGGGTGTCATAATCACACTGGGTGCCACACACTAACCTTGAGAACAGCAGTGCCACACACAGCTTGAGCTCGACAGGACCTTCTTCGTCTTTGTTTACATCGCATGGAGCAGCGTGACCAGTTAGTCCAGTCGTTGTAGAGGCCGCCGCTGAGATCCGCCAGGTCATGGTGGATGGTGTTGCTTGCCTCTACTGAACCAACCAACTTAGAGCGTCCACCTGTGAGTGTAACAACATTGTACTACTACTACTACTACTACTACTACTGCTGCTATTGCTACTACTAACAATTGCGTCTGTTTTATGAAATACTGCAGACGCTGGATATAGGAGCTAGTAAAACCCAAAACGAATTAATTATATTTTCATAGAGCAATTACTGTATAGACTGATGCCTTTCAAGGAAGTTTTCAAGGCATTTTTTTTTAATTCGTGTTTGTGTTTGTAAGAAAAACTAAAGGGGGTCATACATACCTCTGCCAGGGTTACGGGAGTGGGATGGGCGGCGGTGGGATCCATGTGGGCGTGGTCTCTGGCTGGTCTCCCCGGGCTGTACGAGACAATGATAAAGTATTACGAGAGATATACCTGAGTGTAGTACCTGACCTGACCTGACCTGACCTAACCTGACCTGACCTGACCTAACCTAACCTAACCTGACCTGACCTAACATAACCTACGATAATTCTGGCGCCTGTGATTGAAGACTTACTCCTGTTCTTCTTATGAGACTCTGTAAGAAGTCTCTCTCTCTCTCTCTGCCTCTCTCTGTCTCTCTCTCTCTCTCTCTCTGTCTGTCTGTTTGTCTCTTCCTTCCTCTTCTCTCCTCCTCTCCTCCATCCTCCCTCCCCTCCTCCTCCTCCTCCCCTCCTTCTCTCTCTCGTATCATGAAGAAGTCTCATATCTTCACAGGAAACACCCAATTACTGAATTAAGAAAAAGTGTTGCATCATGAAGGCTTTAGCTGTGTCGGGGAGTTGTCTAAGACTTTTTTATTTTATAATTTATTAAAAAAGTTGTTACTAAGACCAGAGTAGATTATGTAAATACGTTGTTTTGTTTGGTTAGGTGAGGTGAGGTTAGGATAGGTTAAATCTGGTTAGTTCAAGTCAGGTCAGATCAGGTCAGGTCAGGTCAGGTTAGGTCAGGTCAGGTCTTCGTGTCAAAGTGTCGTGAGGTTGAGTGAGTCACGGGTAGATCATCATCACAACAGCATCACACATGACAACTTAAATGACTGGTTATTTCCTCCTCAAGGTCGCTGTCAAGGAGCCATTGCAACAGTCACAGGGCCACATTAACAGTCGGAGGGCCATAGCAACAGTCATAGTGTCACATTAACAGTCGGAGGGCCATAGCAACAGTCATAGTGTCACATTAACAGTCGGAGGGCCATAGCAACAGTCATAGTGTCACATTAACAGTCGGAGGGCCATTGCAACAGTCACAGAGCCACATTAACAGTCGGAGGGCCATAGCAACAGTCACAGGGCAACAGTAATAGTCACAGGGCCACAGTAACATGGCCACAATAACAGTGACTTACATGTTGTTCCCACCAGCGGCGCCACCCCTTCCATGGCCGCACCTCAGTTCCCTTCGCTTCCGTTATCTGTCAACAGAGAGCAGATAATTACCGTTAGAATACTTTGTGTTTATGTCACCTGCTGAGGCTGATGTATCACTCGCTCCAAAAAAGTATCTTTACGGAGACGATCGATGAGTTTCAGAATGAACACTGTGACTCCTGTTGTCCCTCTGGGGTTGTCAAAATCCTTCGTCTATTGTTTCATATTGTTTAGCAGAAAATCGTGAAGACAATTTTTGGAGCGAGTGTATAGTACTTAATAATAATTATAATAATAATAATAATTGAACCGGACTTAAAACTATAGTAAGTATATAATAGTAACTTAACACTACTTAACTGGGGTACTGTATAAGAGTGATTTTATAAATAACTGTGTGTAGTGACTAAAGTAACAGGAAAACATCCCATATTGACTTATATTGTGTACATGTTAGTTTGTGTAAGTGTGTACGTATATATAACATGTAAGTGTGTACGTATATATACTGTATGTGTGTATGTATAGTAACTAGTCTTCAGCAGATACTTGGTTACCCAGCAGTGTGGGAAGCTTGGTAACAAAGAAAGAGGTTGCGGGGAGGTTAGGGAGGTCAGTGGCCTCTAGTGGGGAGAAGAACTTGTACTCGTCAGACGCTAGAACAATAACCAAGTGAGGGGGAGAGGAGAGGAGAGGGATAGGAGAGGAGAGGGGAGAGGGAGGAAGCAGCTGTATCGTTTGGTTGACACGTTAAGTTCATCTCTTTTTTCTGTGTAGGTAAGAACAGACACAGACACACACACACACACACACACACACACACACACACACATAATAGGCAGGACATTACAGAGGTATATCAAAAGTTTCTAAACAAATCGCCTTTCCAGAGTGACTATCGAGGCTACTATGCAATACACGCCTCCATAATGTCTCTTCCTAACCCCCCCACCGTGCCTATCACCTTTCTCCACCCCCACCGTGCCTATCGTCCCTCCACCTCCACCGTGCCTATCGTCCCTCCACCCCACCGTGCCTATCGTCCTCCACCCCCCACCGTGCCTATCGTCCCTCCACCCCCACCGTGCCTATCGTCCCTCCACCGTGCCTATCGTCCCTCCACCCCCACCACAACACAGTGATGAGGCTGTGGATGAAAACGTCGATGAATACAAATGTAAACATGACCTTTTATCCCCTTCATGCGGTATATAAAAGTTCATACCAAGACCATAAACAAAGTCGTCTGGGAAGCCACCACCTGTTGCTGTCTGAGGATCTACCATCAGCTTTTGTTATTCACTGAGGAGCCGCCAGAAGAATAGAATGACTGGTGACTCATCTACAGACAATATGGATTGGTGATTTGCCAGGCGTTAGTGATTGGTGACGACCCAAGCTCCGCAATCACGAATATTTCAACGTAAGAATTTTCCTCTTAGGTGAACAAAAGGCATTCATTAGTTAAAGCATCTTGGTGAAATTTTGGTGCCATTTTCCCCACTCTCTCTAAGACTCATACAATAGACGGGTTGTTACGTGACCTGAAGAAACTACTTAATATATAACACTTTACATTAATTAGTTATGAATACATTTTTATCCACCAAACCTGAGAAGAATTTAACCAATGAAGTGTAGTGAATTTATTTAAGTGCCTCCATACACTACAAATTTTCAATATAACCTGATATAAGTACTTTCACACCTCCAAAAAGTATCTCTAAGAGTTTGTATGAGACAATATGACACAACGGAGGAAGAATTTTGACAACCCTACAGAGACAACAGGAGACACAGTGTTCATATAGGTAATTCAACGAGACCCTACCGTATAAATACTTTTTTTGGCGCGAGTGTTACATACTAACTTACATCTCTTAAGGAACTGACGCGAGGAAAATAGTTAGGTTTAGGTTAGGTTTAGGTTAGCGTGTTACATCATCATTTAGGAGGAGAAGAATTTGACGTATGTTGAGTTGCACGGGGATCGAGGCCGTGGTTAGTGAACGCTGCGCCAATGTTGTGAGACCAAACACGAGTCGTCTTCCTGGTTCAACGTGGCGGAGGGAGGGAGGTAGGGAGAGGGCTAGAGGAAGACTGAGGGAGGAGGAAGAATGAGAGGGAGAGTGAGGAAAAATAGAGAGAAGGGAAAGTGAGGGAAAGGACGAGGTGGGACTGAGGGAAGAAGAGGAGGAGGGTGAGGGAAAATGAATAGGAGGGGGAAGACGAGGGGGAGAGTAGAGAGAGGGCGAATGAAGAGAGGGGATGTAGGAACGAGAGGGAGTGAGAATAGATAGGAGGGAAGTAGGGGGAAGGGAAAGGAAATGGGAAGGGGAAGGGGAAGGGAGGAAGTAGGGAGGGAATAAATTTAAGTAGAGAGAGAGAGAGGGAGAGAATATTTACAGAGACAGGAGACGCTGCTATTGTAAATAAACATTATCCGTCACCATCAGTGTATGTGTACCGTCAATCTATGTGTACCACCATTATGTGTACCGTTAGTCTATGTGTACCACCTGTGTATGTGTCCCACCTGTGCATGTGTACCATCAGCCTATGTGTATCCACTGTATAGCCCTCAGTCGTAAACAAAAGAACATCACAATAGACAAAAGAACGTCGACACTGTCCTAAAGATGGCGCACTTAACCTAGATTATGATGGAACTGTTCCTATCGCCTCCTTCTGGCTGTGACAGACTGTAAGGGAAGCCAGGAAGGAGGCTGAGCAAACACAGAAGCAGACTGAGAAAAAACGAGTCGAGGTAGTCTTCGTGTCGCTTCTGTTCTCGCCGCTGCACTTAGGTGAGTCACCCCTTCCATTCCTAACCCTGTTTCTTTATTATTAGCATTCCTTTGTTTTTTTTCTTTTTTATCGTCTTTTATTTGTTTATTATGCTGGAACTGAAGGAGTTATTGCTTCTTTTCTGTCTCTTGTTTGTTTTTGTTATTCTTGCATTGTTCGTCTTGTTTGTATTATGTTTGTTGTTTTGTTGTTTTGTTTTTTATTTAGTTTTTTAATTAATTTCCTTGTTTTTTTTTGTTTCTCTGGTTGTTTATAAGGGTTTTATTCTTCATTGTTGCCTTATTTTTTACTTTATTACATCGGGTTTCGCTTTCGGTGACTTCTTGTTGAGTTAACCTTCCATCTACCTCCGTTTTCTGTAAGTACACAATTTTCCTTCTTTGCCCTCCGTGTCTCTCACCTCGTGTCCCTCACTCCTCACCCCTGTCTCTCACCCCATGTGTCCCTCACCCTCTGTCTCTCTCACCCCCTGTGTCACCCACCCTCTCTGTCCCTCACTCTCTCTAGGATCATCTTAACAGGCCCATGGTAGGTTAGAGGTCCTCTCAACAGGCCCATGGCAGGTTAGAGGTCATCCCAACAGGTCCGAGGCAAGTTAGAGGTCACCCCAACAGGTCCGAGGCAAGTTAGAGGTCACCCCAACAGGTCCGAGGCAAGTTAGAGGTCACCCCAACAGGTTCGTGGTCTAACAGATCTAAACACCCTTACTTTGACCCCAATTAAGAGCCATTTACTGATATACTGAAACAGACGATGAAATTTCCATACAACTTTTACAACCATTCCCACCTTCACCTGTGAGTTAATTAAGACATCAGGTGTTGAGCCAAGCAAGGGTCATAGTTATACAGTTGTTACCCCTTTTTTCAGGTCAATTCGTCGTGACAATAACCCAACTAGGATCTATGAGGAAATGACTTGAAACCCAATACATTATAAAGATATTCAAAGAGTTGTGAGTGATTGGGTTATGCGATTGACTTACCACTACCAAAGACTTGTTTATGGTTCTTGTTATGTAAACTTGTAGTGGTGGTTGTAGTGTTGTTATTGGGGTAGTAATGGTGGTGGTAGTAGTGGTGTTAGTCGTGTTGGTAGTGGTGTTGATGTTAATAGTGGTGGACAACGAGGCGTCAACACTACACCCTCATATAAGCGTGGAGTGAACCCTGACGTTTGGTTAAGTTAGGATACTATGTAGTGCAGATGCGTATACGGCCTTTTCCTTTACAAGTGGAGTTCCTCAGGGCATTGTGTTGGGTCCTACGAAAATTCATAACTTAGGTAACAACTAATTTAAAACTACAATTCGACTCATAAATAATAATAAAAATTTTCTTGATATTAAAACCACAAAGATACATAATTTTAACTCAATGTATATATATAAATTCAGTCAATTTCTCCTGCTCGACCTTCGTTGTAATATATATATATGTAAATTCGGTCAAGGTTATATACTCGACCTTAATCTCAATATATAAATACGGTCAAGGTCTGGTACTCGACCTCAAGTAGATGAGCCCCTCATGAACACTGAACCACTCCACTCTGTGAATGAAACTAAAGTGATGAGTGACGTCCTTGGCACATGACCGGAGAACATCAATAACTCATTGACCTGCTGCGATTTTCCTCAACTAAGTGACATGGGTAACGCACCTAACTCACTCTACGTTACAAATATAGCGGCCATGTTGTAGTGCCAGTCCTATACGGTAACTGGTTAACGAAATTCGCCCTTAACACAGGTATTGGTAACGCACATAACTGCCTACCTACAACTGCTCCTCTTCATACCTGTCATTATGGGGGTTAATTACAGGTGTTACCAATAGGTCTATGAGTTCCTAGTGTCTTTAGGTATTTTAATAGGATTTAATTAATGATATCTTCAGTAATAAGACACTTGGTGATGGTGGCGATTTCTATTAGTTAAATCAGGTGGAAAGTAATGGTGGTGGTGGTGATAGTGGTAGTGGTGGTGGTAATGATAGTGGTGATGGTGGTAGTAGTGGTGGTGGTGGTAGTGGTGGTGGTGGTGGTAGTGATGGTGGTTGGTGCATCAGGGGTCACAGTGTGGTAATCATGTCTTGACTCATATTGTTGATAAACATTACAAGTTTCTTATAGACAAGCTTCAAACACCAGCCTGTAAACACACACCTTTTACACGAGAGTTTAAACCTGTAACTACACTCCACCACCACACTCCACCACCACACTTCACCACCAC